TACATGCTCTATGACCCAGAAATTCCACTTCTAGGTGTAGAATCAACAGAAACAGGTGTGTATGCCTAGTGACCTGGGAAGTTCATACAGCGGTGCTGACAATTATGAACAACTGGAAAATCTCTACATGAGCATCAGTGATTTGGAAATAGTCACCTCATGAAACAGTACCAGTAATGAGGAGAAATGACCCCCCCAACAACATTCAAGAATATAAACAAACCCCACATTTGTGATGGGTGCTGACAAAAGAACAAGTAAATTAGAGAGACTCAGAGACTGCCAAAATAGGCAACATTCATCCAAGTTAATAGAAGTAGTATTTACCCTTGTGGCAGTTGGAGGTAATGACATCAAGCACACAGAGCTTCTGCAAGCTATTCCTGCTTTTCTTTCATAGTCTGCATGCTTGTTAAATGGTCTGGCTAATCAGTTTGTGAATGTTTATCAAGTTTATGATATGTGTACTTTTTTCATGCACATTATAATCCAATAAAATGTTTTAAAAATATTCCTATCTTTCAGATGACATACTGGGACAACTATCTCAGCGTGGGTCTGGCTGTCCTTTAGCATTTCTCTCACACTGGCTCATCTTCAATTAGCCAGCGGAGCTTGGAGGCTTTAGCAAGCAAGCGTAATCCAGCGTGAATTGAATAACAGTGTTTTGTTTTTATTGTGTTTATTTTTATGGTTACCAGCTGTATATGGCCATCCTTACTGGGTTCCCATTTATGGTAATGATATAGAGTTCTCTTTGGAAATGGCCTCAAGTTAAAAAAAATGAAGAGGAATGAATTGACTTAACTTAAAAGGTCATGTGAATAACAGTACAGGTAGTGTGTAGTTATGGTAAACTGTGCAAGGGTGGAGTTTGAGCAATATTGTTCAAATGGGGGAGAAAAAGCAGGGATTAGAAAGAAGCAAGAAAACCAGTCTCATCTTGTCCCAGAAAACTAGTCCCTACTGCCAGGCACAGACAGGCTCTCAACCCTATGAATGTATCCTTTACAAAGGGCTCCTGGGAAATTTGAAATACGGAATGTTTTAGGAACGTCGAGCAAACAAGAGACTAGAAACAGAGATCTTGAGTTCACTCAGCAGATACGATTATTGATGATGAGCCAGGCACCATTAAGAGTTCTGGGCCTGCAGAAGTGCCAGAGTGCTCATGTGCCAGGCTAGCCCCTAACAAGGACTGGAACCATGGCGAAGTTCTTCCAGGTCTCTAGGTCTCAGTTGATTAAATGTGGCTCTTCAAATGCAGAAAACAAGGGTTGAGGGCACAGAACAGACCTTTGTTCAAACCCCAGTGCTGCCAAAGGCAGAAACGGTAAAGGTAAAAAAGAGAATTTTATTTGAGGCCTTAGGTATGGCCATTCTGGAGGCATAGGTTCAGAGAACTCTGAATGAGTCAGTATTCAGAGGAGGGTAGGGAAAAGGAGTGTGTATATGGATTATGGCTGAACAGAAGGATCAGGGACTGTGTGACTTGTGACCATGACGGTGACTACAGAGGATAAAGACTGTATATATGCCAGGCGCTGGTGCCTGTAATGCTAGCAACTCAGGAGGCTGAGATCTGAGAATCATGGTGTGAAGCTAGCCCAGGCAGGAAAGTCCATGAGACTTTTAGTATCTCCAATTAAAAATAAAAGCTAGAAGTGGAGCCATAGCTTAAGTGGTAGAGTGCTAGTCTTGAGCAAAAAAGCTCAGGGCCAGCCACTTAGGTCCTGAGTTTAAGCCCCAGACCTGTCCCATACACAGAAAAAAGGTTGTATATATTGAGTGAAAGTATATACATATTTATGTATGTCCATAGCACATGAGTTCTTTTGGAATGCATCCTGAACGTCTGTACACAACACATTTTCCCCTCAAAGTACTTTATTGTTGTTTTAAAGGTGACATACAGTGGGACTAACTTTGCATACATCTGGGAATGAGTACCTTTCCTTTCGCATAGAGTCATCGTTCCCTCACCTCCCATTTCCTCTCTCCCATCCCCACCCATGAGCTGCATACTTCACTTTCATCAATGCCTGGTGCAGCCAGTGCACTCCACTGCTGTGCATAATGCAATTTTTTTAATCCTTCTAGTTGACTGCAGTCAAAGGGTAGAGGTAACCCAAAGTTATTGCTCCCAGACAACTTGAGTTGTGAAGTTTTGCATAGGTATGTGTGTGTGTGTGTGTGTGTGTGTGTGTGTGTGTGTGTGTGTGTGTATAGGCATTTAGACAGGGGCTTGCTATGTAGCCTAGGGATGGCTTCAAACTCACTATATAGCCTGGGCTGGCCTCAGACTCATGATCCTCCTATCCTAGCCTCAGGAGTACAATAATTGAAGACACGTGTCACTTTGTCCTACTTCCTTAATGACCATTGACTCCATTTACAAAAGCTCTTTTAATGTTGCTTCCCTCATGGTTTTCCTTTGATTTCACATAAAAAATAAAATAAAAAAAGCCAAGCCTCAGTGCCAGCAGGCTTTTCTGGAGTGGGATTAGAAAAGAATTTACAGACATGAGGCTGTGTTGAGGTGTGCGTGTGTGTCTTTGGGGGCGGCAGAAGATAAAAATTGGTTATTAACTTGAGAAATGGGAGAAAAGAGTTAGGATATGGTGTTCAGAGTCATCAGAAAGAGAAATCTCAGCCTAGCATGGTGGCACACATCTGTGATCCCAGTCGTCTGGGGAATGAAGCAACCAGGACTACATAGGGAGACCCTGTCTTTAAAAAACAAAAATAGAAACAAAAACAAAAAGAAATCCCATTGAGTACATTTGTTAAGTCAGCATTCTTTTGCTGCTCATCTCCCCAGTTCTTGGCTAAAAGATCAAGAACTTTACAAGGAGATGGAAGGAAAATGATTTTCAAAAGAAAAATGAGCAGCTGCAGAAATGAACAAATAGTGCATCTCTTAGTCTCCCAATCGATGTGTCCCTACTTTTAATGCTTTTAATGTTAACTGCTGGCCATTATGGTGGAGATAAGACAAGGAAAGACCCTGCTAGGAGTAATTTTAGACAGTACTTAAACTCGTTCAACAGATAACCAGGCACTCCAGTTTTAGGTCTCTTGCCTGCCTAGTTTGGTAACCCTAGTCACCTTTCGTAACTGAGCGTTTAATTTTTGGATGGTTCAAACAGAAATGTGCTATACACGTAAGATGCACATTAGGGTTTGAGGATTCAGTGTAAAGAGAAAGAATTTTCAATCTCTCATGAATAACTGTAAATATTGATTACTCATTAAAATGGTACTGTATGGGCTACAATGAGTTCAAGGAGAGTATAAAATGAATGTCACCTATTTCTTTTACTGTATTTTAATGTGACTCCTAGAAAGTTTAAGTAGTAATATAGTTTATATTAGATTTCCAAAGGACAGTGTGGTGCCAGACACTGTCTCTACTCTGAAGGAGTACTTCCTAGGTGGAGGTGACTGGAAGCAGGTCTGCAACACCAGGACATACCAAGGCAGGGTGATATAGCGTCTGCACTAGCTTGTGTCTTTTTCTTTCTGTATTGTACACAACTCTAGATTGCCTGGGTTCTGTTCTATCTAGTTCACCCATCTACTTGTACATACATGGATGTTCTGTCCCTGTTGTCTACCAAATTAAGCCAAACTCTCACTTGTCTGATTTCCTGCCAGTCTCCCACAGCTTCCTCAGGCTCTCTGGCAGTGGATGGATGAACTTTCCAGTGTTCGACCTCACTGCCCCCTTTCCCTGTCTTTGGTTTGGCTGGACCCTGTGCTCAGGTGCCCCTGCTAATCCTCCATTTTCCCTGGTGGATTTCTAAGCTTCAATTCCAATTCTCCCAGGAAACTCATCAGCTCTCCACCCGAATAGTTCTCTTCCTTAAAGCCTCTAACAGCAGTTATTTATTAGTCTTACCAAACTCTTCCTCATAATTCTTCCCTGCTTAGTTTCTTAAGATCATGAATGCATTAGATGACTGGGGGCAAAAAGACCTAATCTTCAAGGGTTAGGTGACCATGTAATAAAAGTAGTTACTTAGAAAGAATGGAACAAAGATGTATGCCACCGGAAGAGCTGGGAAATTAAAACGAGATGGAATTTTTCTGACAAAGGTCTTTCTTTTTCAGGGTCACTACCAGTCCAGTCCAGGTTGGACTGATGGGTGGGGAATGGGGAGGAGGAGGGACAACTTGGCCAGATGATTGAGTAAATAAACCAATGAAGGCCATACTTGCCCACCTGTACTTTTGGAGAGGACCACAGCTGACCCTGATCTCGGGCTCCTTCATACCTGGAGATCCAATCCGACTTTCACCTATGGGTGTACCGGGATATCTGCCACAGCAAAACCTCCAGATCTATGGGCAGCGGCCTACGTCTTGGAATACTTCTTTGGGAGGCAGGGGTTGGAGGAGAAGAAAGGAGCAGATTTCTCAAGTGTCCAGAAAATGCACTTCGACAGTTCCATTTTTGGGGGACTGGAGGTGGGGAGGGGGAGAAGGGGGTTGCATTTAGAACTAGCCTGGCTCTGACCCTGCCCAGGACTCATCCAAGCATATTGTTCCAAACAATCCGGGTAGGTACCCGGAGGATGGAGGGGGCGGATGTGAGATCCACCTGAAGCAAGGAAGGTCAAGGCCGGGCCTGGCGTCCGTGTGTTTCCCCAGCAGCTGCGGAAAGCGCGCAAAGTCCTACCCAAAGCGAACCCCCGAACAGGAGACAAAAGCCCGCCTCTCCTAACCCGAGCTGGCAAGTTATTCTTAACTCTCCCCGGGCGTCGGCGAACCCGGGCTTGGAGAGGGACGAGAGATCGGGGAGAGGAGGCCCGGCGGACCCCGCACGGGGACCGGGGTGGGGTGGGGCGGGGCGGCGGGGTGTGCGGGTGGGCGTGTGCGCCAGCACGTGCCCGCGCGCCGGGGAGCGGGCAGGAAGGGGGTGGTCTCCAAAAGGGGGAGGGGAGAAGGCCAAGGGGGCGGGGAGAAAGCAAGCTTTTTAGGAGCCGGCGGCGGGTGCCGGGGAGGCGAAGGGAAGGAGGCGGCTCCCGCGCTCGCCGGCCCGCGCCACCTGCCCCGCTCGCTCGCCCGCCGGTGTGTGTGTGTGTTGCGCTTCCCCTCCGCCGACATGCTGCCGAGACTGGGCGGCCCCGCGCAGCCGCTGGTCTTGCCGTCGTTGCTGCTGCTGCTGCTGCTGCTGGGCGCGGGTGGCTGCGGCCCCGGGGTGCGCGCCGAGGTGCTGTTCCGTTGTCCGCCCTGCACCCCGGAGCGCCTGGCGGGTTGCGGACCCCCGCCGGTGCTCACGGTATCCGGGGAAGCGGGCGATGTCCTGGCGCCCTGCACCGAGCTGGTCCGCGAGCCGGGCTGCGGCTGCTGCTCCGTGTGCGCCCGGCTGGAGGGCGAGACGTGCGGGGTGTACACCCCGCGCTGCGCCCAGGGGCTGCGCTGCTACCCCAACCCCGGCTCCGAGCTGCCCCTGAAGTCGCTGGTCAACGGCGTGGGCACTTGCGAGAAGCTCCAGGACTCCAGCCCCAGCCGTGACCAGGTGGCAGGTAACGCGGGGCCGGGACGGCTGGAGGTGTGTGTGTGTGGGGGGGGGGTAAAACTTGGAGGGCTGCGGGCAGCCGTTTTGTAGGAGCGCGCCGCTCGACCTCGGGGTCTGTTGTAGAGAAGAGAAAGCGGAGTCCTTGACTCGATCCTGGGGGGGATTAGTGGGAACGGGAACCCACAACCCTCCCCCCCCACCCCGAAAGGCAGACCTGTGGGAAGGGGGAAGGAAGAGCCCTGGCTACTGATTGGCTTGAGAGAACTTCTTCCCCGCGTGGAGCATCCCCCGACTTCTATTCTGTGCGGGGATTTACTGTTGGGCCGTAGGAACTTCAGGTTTATTTTAGGAGGGGGGCGGCATGGCCTGAGTTAGGTGACCCCTCGAGGAGTCCGGGTGGGACCTTGGACGGAGGCCCCGGCACCGGGAAGGGGACCCTGCCTTTTACTGGGCTTGGGAGGCGGAGGGGAAGCATTTGGCGCCTTGTGGGGGTGAAGTGCACCTCGAGAACGAAATGGGGGCTCTTGCAACACTCTTAGATGGAAACGGAACAGAACAACAGGGAGAGAGAGGGTTCCTGGGAGGCGCAAGGTGGAGACCCTGATAACTGGGTCTGTGTAACTTAAGACGGATCATCAGCTGCATTCTTGGAGGGGCGGACAGGCCACGCGGCCAAGCATCCATCTGCTCCCCAGGTCTGAGGGCTGGAGGAGTCGGGGTGAGAGCGACAGCCACGACTCTTCTGTGAGCCTTGCACTCCTTCCCCTGCTCCCCACTAAACCCAGGGACTTCTTGCTATCTCCTTAAACGGGGAGCTTGCTATCTCCTTAAACGGGGAGGTTGGGGGTTCTTTGTTAAATCCCTTTCCAAAAGTTATTTGAGGGATGCAATCGGGTTGTAAGGAGTTCACTTTCAAAAACATTGTTATTATTATTTTATTATTATTATTTATTACAAATCCTCCCTCCTCCCCTGGTCCAGAGGAAACTGTGATTATTGTCTCTCCTCTTGTAGACAAGAGCTAGTCTCAGGGCCTGCTGCTGTGTAAAAGGCCAGCGGTGTGCCTCACTAAGTTTCTGGAGCTGAGGAGAGGGGAGATGAACAACAAACAAGTGCAGACATTCTTGTTGCTTTAGTTGTTTGGTAGCACCCTCCCCCCCCACCTCTGAACTCTACTTTTCTTTTTTTTTTTTCCTTCCCTGTTTTCCTTGGTATGGAATTCGGGGTCAGGGTTACAGTCCTCTGCATCTCTCACACATTTTGACCTTGAGTACAAAGCAAGGTAGGGCTTCCTCTGAGAGGAACCCCTCCGTTCCTTTCTTCTTCCTCCCGGCTGGCTTTGCAGTTAACCCTTTCCTCTGGCTTCTCTTCGGAAGGAATTAGAAGGAAAAAGGCAGAAGTCCTCTCCTTAAGAAACAGCCTGTCCCCTAATCCAGCAACCTCCGTTCCCTGCCCCCCCCTCTCCTTCCATCCCCCCTGGCACCCCACAGTCCATTCCCAGAGGCTTTGTGCAGTTTGGGGCACTTTCTGAGCAGAACTCAGGCAAACTAAACATCTTCCACAGCAGGAGGAACTTTCTCATTGGCTTTGTAGAAGCCATCGGATTTTGACCATTTTCATCAAGTGGGATGTGTTTTCTCTCTTATGGTTGCATGGCGTTTTCTACTGTTCTTCACCATGGCTCACTCTGAGCCTGAAATCCAACTCTTCTGCTTCTCAGGTCTCTTTGCAGGCGACAGATGTGGGAAGTTGTCTCCCTTCCCCCATTCTTCCTTGCAGCCTGAAAGGGGGTGGAGGGGTTGTCAGGGAAGCTGGAGGACAATGGGGTGAGTTCATGGGAAGAATGTCACTGTGGATTTTCTCTCTGGTTATGGGACTCTACCAGCTTGCCCTAGCTGCTCCTCAGGCTTTACCTAAGGCACGGGATGCCTTCCCACATTTTTTCTCTTTGGTCCCAGTCTGGAAGAGGGGATATCAATCAGAAGTAGGGAGTAGGGGAGTAAGGAGGAGAGGTTAAAGCGCATTAAGGCTGGGGAAGGGGGTACTGTGGAAAGAAACCTAGGCTTATGGAGTGCCGGGAGAGAGTGGGCAAGGATGGAAGTTGTGGGCCAGTCTGTGGGAGAGGGTCTTGGACTGGGGAAGGGACTGGAGTTGCAGTCTGGAGGCTGTTGAGATCTGAGCTGGGGACAGGGTGTCCCCCCCTCCCCCTTCGCACTGAGCATTGTCCATCGCTCATCTCCTTAGAGCACCCCCCCCATAGCCGCCACTCCTCTCTGAGCAGGTTGCTTTTGAGAATTTTAAACATACCCTCTTATTTCGAGGCAGCAAACCCCAGCAGTTCCGGCCTTGCCGCTAGCTCTTTTGTCTTTGTTCCCAGGACTCAGGGGTTGTGCTGCTGGCTTCCTGGGGATGGCACGGATGCAGGGCTTGGGGGTGGGCACGTCAACGGATAGAGCGAGCAAGTGAGTGGATGGTGACCATTCTGCTTGGGGGGGGAGTCTGGGGGGGGCTGGGGGGAGGTGTTGGGCTGGGGCTGGTTGGCTCACAGACACTGAAAAGTCAGACTGGGGAGGAGGGGTTGGGTAGAGGTGGGGAGGCCTGAAAGCCAAATGAAAGGTCCCTGAGATCTGCCAAAAGTCCGGATCTTAAAAGTATGTGGGTGTGCGAGGTGACAGAGTAGGCAGTCTGCCTTACTTGGGGGCTGGGGGAGGGGAGTTGGGGAGGGGGATGGGCTTGGGCTAGGCCTGGTCCTTTCAGAATTCAGGCCTGGCATCTCCCCTCCTTCCCTCCTTCCCCGGGGGTGTTACAATGCTGGGGATTATGCCGAGGGGCGGGGCGCCCAAGTGGCTGTCTGGCCCTGTGCGCATAGAAAGGTACTATAGAAATGTGCAGTCATTCAGAGTCTCAGAGCCAACAGGCAGGCTGGCCCGCTTGTGGGTGAGGAGCGGGAGGTCTCACATCTGCAGTTGCTGCGGGAGCAGGGGAAGAAGGCAGGCCCTGATTTACAGCGGCTCAAAAATAAAAAGGGGGTAGGGTGGGCCAGAAAGCTAGGGGACTTCTGGCTCCCAGTACTGCTCCCCATCTCGTCTTGCATAAATTTGCATACCGAGTTCCAAGTCATAAAATAGACTTAGACTCCAGAATGAGTGGGACCCACTGTCGCTGATTGTTTTAACACCATTACCTTCCGCCTCCCCTTCCCCCCTCCTGGACAGAGAACTGGAAACTGGCTCTGCTAAGCTGCTAGCCTGGAGGAGATGGGGGCTGAGCCCTGCTGCTCAGGGGACCTGTTGGGGCACACATGGAGTTTCTTAAGAGACTAAGCAGTGAGTGGCTCTCGGCCTTGGGCCAGGGTCATCCAGGTGACCGGAAAGGCATTTGCACAGTGTGCAAGTGTATCCTGTCTGACCCCTGGCTGTAGCAGCCAGAAGTGTAGGGTAGGTATGGATGGGATTGGTGGTAGGGCATATGAGGAGGGTCTTTGGTTGGAGTTACTATTGACCTATGTAGTTCTAAACCATTCCTGGATGGTTTCCTTTGTGTGGTAATAATGAACCAATTCCACAGACAAGGTGTTTGAGGAAGAAAGCATGGAGGAGAAAAAGATCCAATGTGACATTAAAGTTGTTATAAACTTACACAGACCTTACAAAATCAGGGTAAGGTACTCTGAGTTAAGCAACTGGGGGGAAAACTCACTTATAAAATTGTTCTTGACCTAACTGTATTCTTGAGTTTCTTGGCAGGCAGTGGGAGGATGGATGCTCAGGTGGCTCTCACTGTTAGCCTACCTTAGCTTTGCGTTTTAAAATAAAATATCCAGGTAAAGAATTCCTTTGGGTTAGGAGACTCATGGGAAATAGTCCTATTAAAGTGCTGTAGATTATCGGGGGTGGGGATTGTGCCGCTCCTATGCCTCTGTCACTATAGGGCCAGCTGGAATACCTACCTCATGCTAAGTACATGGACAGGACTCACACAATATGACATGGAAAATACATTGGCTGCAATCAGAGGGACTCTGCATAGGTGACTTGGAAATGGTGACAGGAATGTTCAACAAAACTCAAGTCTGTGAATGGGGAGGCTAGGAGACTGGCCAGGCCCAGGCTTGGGAACAGGAAGGGACTCCTGTGGGCTGAAGGATGGGACAGTTTCCTCCGAAGGCAGGGGTTATTTCTAGAGCTGCTTCTACTGAAATGAAGGCACAGAAGAGGAGGTCATGCTATGCTTCTCCAGGGGAGCTAGCGATGTGGCTGGCAGATGTTCCAGGCCCCTCTGCTTCTCTTTGTTTTCTCTGGCTGGACTTTCCTTAAGGTGGCAGGCAGCCATCAGAAGACCATCATCCCCCATCTGTCCTGTTGAACTGATGGCCTCTCCTGCTTGGTGTCCTGTCTCTTATCTTCCCCTCTGGGGGAAGGGAAGGTTGATACCCCTATCTCTCATTAGAAGAACTGAGGAAGGAAGAGGAAAGGAGAGAGTCACCTGATTGCCTACTCTTTTCTTAACTTTCTGCTTCCATGGCTAAGCCAGGGACTGGACTGTTGGCAACAACAGGCTTTTGAATCTTTTGGTCAGAAGTTTTGTGCCTGGACAGTTGCCATAGGCAGGTGATGGGTGATGGCCTACAGCATATCACTGTCAGCTTTTGGTTATTTGGATTTTCCCGACTTTTAAAAAATATTTATTTTTTGTCAGTCACAGGGCTTGAACTCTGGGCCTGGGCTCTGTCCCTGAGTTCTTTAGCTCAAGGCTAGTGCCCTTATCACTTGAGCCACAGCACCACTTCTGGTTTTCTGGTGGTTAATTGGGGATAAGAGTCTTACAGACTTTCTCTGCCTGGGCTGGCTTTTGAACCATGATCCTCACATCTCAGCCTCCTGAGTAGGTAGGATTACAGGTGTGAGCCACCAGCGACCGACTTTTCTTGACTGCTTACAGACCTAAATCCTAGAACTAGGGAGACTAAAAAATGTAAATGGCCAACATGCAGTAGTTAAACAAGAA